TATATCTGAGTTTCATGATTCTTCAAGAAAAATATCCTCAATTACTAAATCAAAGCATCAGTCAATTTATAAATGTTTGCTGCTCTAGTGGTACTTTTTAACTTTCAGCTTCGTCAGAAATACCGTGATTTGTTTCAATATAGCACAATAGGAAGTCTCAACCAGGTGCATTTGTTGCAAAATGGGTATATCATTTAAATGTGTCTGATTAAATTCCACAAATTAAATAAAATAATGAATTATCCACTAATGTAGTTTTCTCTTTTTTTTCCGGATATTTTAATAGCATTTGAGATTTGGAGAAAATTCTTCATAGAAGTATAAATTTGTAAATTCTCTTACTGTTAACTAGACTGTCTTCCATGAAGCTGCTGATTCACATGAATTAGGAAATGATCCTTTTTTTTTTTTTTTTAATAGACTATTATGTCAGCCATTCTCTGGTTTTGCTAGGGTCTTATATTATCCTAATTGATTGGTAGTTAGTTGGATAAAATCTTTTGGGTAATATCTGTTACAGGGGCTAATAAAGAAGTTGTTTTCTTCCAGTTGATATAACACTTAATGTATGAAGAGTTTAGACAGAAGTGTTGTGATAACTATGATCTTGCATGGTTCTCAGGACTCCTTCTTAATTAATTTTTGGTGTCCAGTAATTTTTTTTTTTTTGAGGAGGGGGTCGGGGGAGGGGCATTGTGTGTGTCGATGAAACAGTTCTGAGAATAAAGCTTCACATCTTTAAACCAATGAGTTTAACTTAGAACTTGAATGAAGAGGTGCAGCAAGCTCATATTTGGGAATGTGCAGTGACTGGCCCTCTTAGAATTAAACCTTTGATTTTTTAGAAAGATTGTAACTGCAGGGATGGTATCTTTTACATTGCAGTATGCAGCCCTCTTTTTAAGATAATGTAGAAATAACCTCAGATATTTTAACCCTTAATCAACGTGTTCAGTAGCAAAACTGGGCATTTATTTTGAGGAACAAGGCAAAGGGATTTAAGGCTGAGGTAAAAGAATTGTATGTATGTTGCAGGAAAGCAGTAAACAGTGCCCGTAGGACAGCCTTGCCCATTATTAGGCTTGCATCATTTGAAATAAAGCTTTTAAAAATTGTTCATTTAAAAATGAACAATTCAGCGCCTGTTTTTATTTCTCATGCAGGCTTTCTTGCAAATTAGATCCAAAAGTACTGTTATTTTGCTTTTGCTGTTATCTCAGGCATCATGGTCATTTTTTTTCCTTCAAGGAGAAAGACGCAAAGCTAAATGTTTTTACTTCTTTTCTCACTTCTTGTTGCCAGGACAAATGCAGTTAGTGTCGTAGTAGTAAGCAGAGCCCGAGCCTCAGGTTACAGCAGGTGGTGTACCTTGAAGATAAATCAGCACCTGAAACCTGAAGTCTGAGTAGATTAGACAATGAACTGTCTGAGAACTTTGACACAGTTTCTTTGTTTCTTTATTTTATTTTGTGCATGCTAGCAGTAGAGTTAAAAAAAAACCAACACAAAACCCAACAAAACAACCAAATAATCACCCTCAGAAGCCCTCCTAGCATTTTAGATCTATGCAGGCAGAACAGTAGGAGAAAAAAAAAAAAGTTGTAATTTGGCAGTTACAAAAGTATGCCTAAATTAAGGAGTTTTTTTTAATGTATGATTAGAACTAGATTGCAGGCCTTGGTTTCTTGTGAAGAATTTACCGTAGATTAGAATTGATGGAATGAATTGATTGCATTAGAATTGATTGCATGTGCTGGTCCTTTGATTGTTTTCCATCTCGGTGGCCTCTAAATCGGGTGCACATGACCATCCACTGAGGTGCGGGAATTAAATATGAGGACTTATCTGAAAAAAAAGAAAGAAATTAAGGTCTATTTATGTATATATTGACACTGTCACCTTTGCTGGGTCCGCAGGTCAGATGATGCTGTGTCATGTCTGGTGCACAAGGTGTCCTGAGGTCGGATTTAGTACTCCACAGTGTGAAAGGGTCAGAGTAGCACCTTTACTCGTTCATTTGCTTTCAGTGTAATTGCAGCATGTGCAGTTTATGTTTGCCTGGTTAGGTGGGTTTATGGATTACATTACCTAGTTTTAACTGAACTATACCATACAAAAAGGGCAAGTGGCTTAAAATATTCCTGCAAAGGGACCATGGACTGAAGGTGATACTAATAACGTGAGCACATGTGAACAGTGAGAACGTGGCAGAGCTGACACTTCTCCTACTCCTAGTATGAGGTTTCTGATCAGCTGTGTTATGAGGTACAAATGATGGCAATTAGATCTGACAAGATGTTGGGCAAAAAAAGTTTAGGTTTATCAAGGAAGGCTATTTAAAATACATCCACTATAGTCCATGATGAACCATACCCTAAGAGAATATTGTACCTTGAGATTATGATTGTATGAAGCCATCACAGTTAGCAAGGCATTTAAAAACTAGACATCCAGAACATAAGGACAAACATCTATGATGTTTAATGTCATGTGATACTCAGTCCAGTACTTTATAACATATTGCTAAACTTAGCATTAGATCTTTAGAAGCCTCTTTTGAGGTTTTTCAAAAGCCACATACTGTTAGGAAAACACTTGATCATCCTGCTGCAGTAAAATACTTGAAATAATACATGGAAAACAATACATGCTGACAAACTAAAGTGTTTGTTTGACAAAGGATCTGTTATCCTTTGTCAGCAGATACTGTTGGAAGATGTCTGGAAAACATTGCCAAAGATTTGAAGAACCAAATATTAGAAAAAAAATACACAGTGTGGGAGGCTTGCTATACACTTGGATGAAAGTATAGATGTTTGTAATGTTGCATAGAATCTAGCAACTACCATAAGCTGTGTTGATAATGAAATACACCAAGAACCAAGTCACTACAGAAAGATGCACTAGAGAGGATACATTCTTAATGGTAAATGACTTCTTCAGTAACAACTTTTTTTTTTTTTTCCTTTAAAAAAACAAGTGTGCAAATGTAACCACTGATGGATTGGCTACTTTGACTGAAGGAAAAAGGATTCTGAGGTGAGATTACCACATGTGGAATTTCATTCACTGCATTGTTCATAGGTGAATACAAGACTGAGAGGAGACCTTACTGCTCTCTACAACTACCTGAAAGGAGGTTGTAGCGAGGTGGATGTTTGGTCTGTTCTCCCTAGTAGCAGGTGATAGTACAAGGGGACATGGCCTTAAGTTCCGCCAGGGGAGGTTCAGGTTGGATATTAGGAAGAATTTCTGTACTGAAAGGGTTGTCAGGCATTGGAACAGGCTGCCCAGGGAGGTGGTTGAGTCACTGTCCCTGGAGATGTTAAAGAGACGAGTAGATGTTGTGCTGAGGGACATGGTTTAGTGGTGTTGATAGGGCTGGGACAAAGGTTGGACTTGATGATCTTTGAAGGTCTCTTCCAATCAAAACTCTTCTATGCTGCTATGATAAATTGGCGCCAGAAGCGCACAAACTGCTGCAGGATATCATCAGTGTGGTTAATTGTATGAAAATAAAACCTTTAAATAGTAATATCTTTATAATAGTTTGTGATGACATGGGGAGTGACCAGGAAAATCTGTTGTACCATGCAGATCGTTATCAGGGCAAAGTGCTTAAAAGAGTTATAAAATTTCAAGATGAATTACACATTTTTCTTTCTCAAAAAGATGGATGTTTGGAACTTGCTGACCTGTCTTGTGATGACAAGTGACTGTCAGCAGTATGCTAACAGATATTTTTTTAAAAATAAACACACTTTAATGTGTACCTTTAAGGTGAAGGTGACATTTTAACGATAATCAAGAAAGTGACTGTTTTTGAAAGAAGCTTGTGGTATGGAGAAAGCATTTTGGAAACATTTCCAAATAATCTTGTTTTCATCACCATGTGAATTTGTTGCCAGAAAAGATGTGTGTCATCTGTAAAAACTCTTGTATCTGTACAGTTAAACTTGGAAACAGAATTTCCCCACCTGTTAAAAGTCTTCCCAGTGAAGAGCTGGGTTTTGAGCCCATTTATTAAAAATACAAAAATCTAACACCTTCCATTAGCTTGCAGTATCAACTGATTGGTTTCTGGAGAGATGGAAATTTACTGGACAGATTTCAAGAAAAACCCTTGTATGATTTGTGGATGGGAATGAAAAATGAGTATCGTGTGTTAGAAGTTTGGTGTTAGAAGTGCATGATCAAAAAGGTTTTTGACAACTGTCCTCATATTATTATTGATACCAATTAATATTCACAGAAATAAATATATGGAAGCTCATTGAGATAGCGGAAAGTGTCTTTTAAGAGTACCTGTTCTTTTCTCATGTTAAATAGTTGTCTGACAGAAACAGAGGATGTTTTACTTCTGGCTTTGTTTCAGGTGTAGTAATTTAGGTGAACAGGGATGATGTCTGGGATAGTGCAGCTCTGATCTTAGCTGCACTATTTTGGTTGCCGGATGCTAAGATGGGGTGGTCCTTGTGAAGTGCTTGCTGTCTCCATGAGGGAAGTGAGTGAGTTGTGGGTAGAGAACAGTGGTATGGAAAGCTGATTGCAAATCTAGGGGTAGAATTCAAATGTTTCTTGTCTGTTGCATTACTGCTTTCAGGTATTGTTCTGGGGCTGACTTGATTTAAAAGGCTGTAAATGTTTCAGATGTTTTGTTCGTTTGCAGTTTTTGGTGCTCGGCTGAAATCAGACCACGAGTGTAGTTTCTGTCGGTAGGAATACTGATCTATCACAGCTGAATTTTTTTTTTCTTGCCTTGCACAGTTGTTCTAAACAGTGCAAATGTATGCATTGCTGAAGTGTCTTGGCATCCTCAAAGGTAACGTAAGAAAATTTCCAAAGTAATTGTTTTTTTTTAACTGGTGTTATGAAATAATGCTTTCTGCCATACCTAAGTAACACTTGGTAACTTGCTGATTAGTTTTTTATGTAAGAGCTGTAGCTAATATGCAAAGATAGGTACTGTTTAACAAGCTACCTCTGTGCTTTTTTATTTTAGGCTAAAGCCTCACCTCTGACATGGCCACAGCCTCACCAAGATCTGATGCAAGTAACAACCATAATGGAAGATTACAAATGCAAGTAACAGGCAAGTAGTGATTTGTATCATGGTAGTTTTTACAGGAAAACATGCGTATTTTAAAAAAGCAATCTTTGAAATGAGTGTAAAAAAATAGATCAATATAGTTAATATTTTAATGAACAACTTGAATGTTACAGTTAAGAATATGGCTGTAATATTTGCAGATGAATTAAAACTAGGTAGAGGTTATACAGTGAGTTGGATGACAGTGCTTAATAGTATTTTCAAATTAGAAAAAAAAAAAGAGATTCCGCGCAACAGTAGTGACAAATGTAAAGAATTTTGCTTGGGAACAAATATTTAATGGCACAAACTCTGTAGAGAGAACACATATTATTGAAATCCTATAAAAAAGGTGGTTGTAGTGACCCCCAAGCTGAAAATGGGTGCAGCGTTATAGTGAAGCCTGAGAAGAACTGGAGCAGATCACAAAATCTACTAGCCCTTCAGAAGATTAGAGTCTTTGATTTTATATCAGGTAAATATCTGTTGAGAATATCAGTGTTATGTGTTATTCTTAGGGCAGCAGGTTGGATTACACAGCCTTATAAAATAATTTAGATAGGAAGGGACCTTTGGGGACTTCCTAGTCTAATACTGAAAGCAGGGCTACCTCTGAAGCTGAATCATGTTGCTCAGGCTGTTGTCCAGTTTAATTTTCATTATCTCGAAGGCTGTAGTCTACCAGCTTTCCTGGGCAGCTTGTTCTGGTGATAAACAACATCACTGCAAAAATGTTTTTCCTTCTATCACATTGCAATTTACAGTGTTGCATTTTGTGAGTGTTTACTTTTTTGCTTTTGCTGTGCTGGTTTTCACAGTTTAACAGGCAGAATTCAGCCATCCCCGTATCTTTTAGGAGGGAGATGGAGTGGGGCTACAAGTAATTCTGGAAATTTCTGATTGTGTTGAGCACAATTTTTTCACTTGATGTCAAACAGGCCCAGTAGGTTACACATTTTACCATTCACAGATGAGAACTGGCCAAGGGCATGACAGTCAATATCGGTCTTAGCTGCTCTCTCTGTGGGATGTCAGAGCAGAGCAAAGGCTTGTTGTAGTCCGAAGATAAGCAAAATGCATCCAGGTGGTCAAGTTCGATAGGTAATTGTGACAGTGTTGCAATAATCAGAAGTGAAAACATTAGCAGCAACTAGTTAGATACTGTGCATAAATATATAAACACATACGTGTATGTATATATGTATTATTTTACAGTTGATAAATAACTTGAACTTTCCAGAGATCCTGGGAAATCTGGGAACTCTGAAATAAGAATGAGTGCACGACCAAGGATATATTAAGGCTATCTTGAATAAAATTTGGAAAAAACATGAGTAAGATACCAAGTCTTAAAAAAAGCTGCATCTCAAGAGATAGATAACCTGGTCATCTTTGGAACATCCAGCATGATGTGAGAAAAAATACCTTGTTGGGAGTCCCCAAAATAACTATTTTATCAAATTATATGAGAGGAACCTTAAAACTGATGAACCTTGTGTAAGAATCATATAATTTGATAATGTGATGAATCATCAAAACTGGCAATAACTTATCACATAGATGGAGCCACCTGTAGGTTGAATATTTATAATTAGAAAACCTGAGTTACACAGATGACCTGTAATTTCAGTTCTGTGTATGCAGAATTGATCATTTTGTTATGTTGTAGTGTGCTGCTCCTTACCTAAGTAGTCTTGTGTTTTTCCCTCTTGACTTCAAGAGATCTGGTTTAAGGATCAAAGTGGGAAGAAATCTGTACAATTTTTAGGATTAGTTTTCTGAAGGTTTAGTTTTCTCTGTAGTCTTTACTGCAAGATCAGAGGAATGCCAGTGGCAGTACAGAGAAGGAAGTGGGAGACAGGAGTGACATACACTGGTTTATGCTCTGATTAGTTTATGCTGCTGTAGAATCTAGACTTAAATTTCAGGAACTGTACATAAACCACACTTTTATAAAGGCACAAAGTAGCATATACTCATTTTGTAGACTAGAGAATTCATATGGTGTGGTGACTTGAGTTTTGACAGTTACAGCATGTTGCTGACAAGTTTTTCTTTTGGTACTTTTTCAAATATACTTGGCAAGGTGTCTTGTTAGTTCGTTTTGAAGTCTTTTGCCAATATTTGTTGCTTAGTTGTAATGTTTTTAAAAGAAGTCCTAATCAAAAAATGATAATGGTCTCCTTTCATGTTTGGAGACTCAAAATTCAATGACTTTAAAACAACATTGGACAAAAGAGGAGAAAGAAAACAAGCTTGAATATTATAGTAATAATATACCTGTATTTTTGCTTTCTAAAAGCAACTACATTATTTGCTAAGTATGGAGGAAAAAATACAGAATAAATAAATTGTTAAGCATTAACAACCTTTATAATAATTTCAGATGAAAGCATATGACTCGTGTGTGGAATTATGTTTTTAGTCTTCTGCATTTAATCTTTCATTGCTATCGAGGCTGCATTTTCCTTTTATGACACATGGCTTAGGCTGGGCTTATCAAATGTGAGGGAGTTAGCTGTGCACGCTTCCCTTGAAATGAAGTAAAAATCTGTGGCTAATGCCTTTAGAATCTTGGACAGTTACATCCCACCAACTTTCAAGTTACTAGTATGTACATCTCAGAGTACTGTAATCTAGAAATACATGTCAGACCTTTTTTTGTCCCCCTTTCAGACAGTTTTGTTAACTTCCACTTATTCTTGAATTAGCAAATACCGTACAGAAAAGTAATTGTACTGTCTCTTCGACCCAGACCAGTGAGTGGCGAAGAGAATATGTCACACTTGGTTTGAACTATCTGACAAAGTAGGTTTTATTAAATAAAAGCTACCATTTTAGCATCGACCTCTTTGTGTTCAGCAGAAGAGGTGAGAAATAACTTTGCTGTACTGTGTTTCATACATTGTGTAGGCAGTACATTTTCTATTTCTTGGGAACAGGGTGCTGTTATAGATAAAGCACTGTATTTTATTAGTTTCTAGTGCCAAACTGAAACGGAAAAAAAATTGGTTTGGAACAACTTTTTACACGGAATTAACTGCAGATGGAGAAATTAAGAAAACAGCAAAATCAAGTAGTTCTTCAAATCCAAAATGGGATGAACAGCTGACAGTGTAAGTAGATTTTTTGGTTGTTTAATACTATTTATTAGGCCGACGTTGCAGGCAAATATTTACTAAGCTTGGCTGCCTACATAGTTTTTGCTGGCTTTTGATGACTAAATGTAGACATAAGATGATATTTATTTGAAATTATTTTTTTCCTCAATTCTTAGAACGGTTTAAGAATATTTTCTGAACAGGGAGTGTTCCTTGCATGCAGTTGCAATACATTGTATACTCTTGATATTTCTTACCACTGTGGATCATTCAAGTTTACAGAATGATTTTCTGGAAATTCCTTCAGATTTGGCATTCGCATTACAGACAGACAGACTACCTCCATCATTAATATTACTTAGAGATTCCTCTCTAGAAGGCACTAGTGGTTGTAACTATGTCATTCTCAACCTTAAAAGGAAAAAAATAAATCTCAGCTGGATAAGTAGAAGTTGAGGAATGTCACTTTTTCATTTAAATTTCCTAATGAAGAGATGCATGTAGAGAACCAGTTTAGTGCAAAGTAACGTTGCAACTTAACCTAATATCTGACCTTTTTGGTCTTTTTGTGGCTTTATTTGGTTTAACTGTGCCATAGGCATAGATATACCTGAATAAGACTTTGAAGAATAGGCTATTTTGCATGATGCAATCAAGTGGAACGTGTTGTTATATAGTCAAGGTTGTACAGCTTCAGGTTTGGGTCTGGAAACAGTACAGCTGCTCTCAGGTGGCCTTGAGCTTGGGCCAGTGCGTTTTACGGCAGCTGGCCTGTCTTCGTGCGATAGCCAGCATTGTTAGTAGTAGGAACCATTGCCAAGTTCTGCAACTAACAGTGCTGGAGAGTGGGGAGTGGCACAGCATACCTAGCTTTGGGGGGAACTGTTTGCTTGGGAACACACACTTCCTAACTAGAGAGCTGGGCTGAAGCAAGGAGGGTATTCCTGTGCCCACCTCTCTCAGTATTTCAGGTTTAGTAGAGCTTATTAGCGCTTTGCAGTGTTGCAAAAGAGAATAATGCGGTCTTATACCTGGCAGTGATTTCCAAGAATTGTTACTAGCACAAGTTGAGAGGCCTTAGTGTGTTCCCAGAGAGCAGAGTTTCTACTGGGGAGACAGGTTTGATTTGGCAGGTGAGGTGATAGAAATGAGGTGGTTTGGCATTCACAGAAGAGGCAAGCAGACTAATTCCAGCAATAGTGTTACTTACTTAGAGGCTTGCGCTGCCCTTATATATATATATACACACACATACCTAAAAGGTATCCTGGCGCCCTGTTCCTCCAGATATTGGAATGGTATTGCTTCGGTTGCCCAGACCATCTGAGGATAAGTGAACTCTCTGGCTTTCCAAATTGCCTTAGTTTTGTGGGCCTGCATGAGCACCAGCAATGTTTCCTGTATGAAGGTGTGGGGTTTTTTGTTTTCTTTACTTTGTTGAGCTGGTCTTTTAGGAAGACATCCATTACAAGGCAGTCTATTCAAAATATAAAAATATGTTTGCTCATGGCTTTCAGCAAACTTGATCCGTGTTGTCCGACACGTTCAAAGGACTCTAAAGCTAGGCCGGTTGCTGGAAGGGTGGGGTTGTTTTTAACATTGTTTTCATCAGTGCTGATGTAACTTTCTGTAGCCAGAACTGATGAATATGTGGCCTTTGACCTTTTGCTGTGCAGGGATTCTACTCCATCGTTCACAGCCAGGAGCACTCTTGCAGTACGAGACCCTGTACTACAAAACTTACTCTGCAGGGCCTAGCATAGCTCCCTGCGCTTCTTCTTGAGCAGGGGAGAGATCACTGCCAGAGGTTATCATAATATTACTGTAATTGGGTCCTTTACCTTTCTGCTTCCCTCCAATTTTTACTTTAGCTTCATCATTTGATTTCCCCCCTCTGATTTCTGTGAGTATGCATTATGGTTTTATATATATTTGTGGACTCACAAATAATATTTTATCAACACTTTCATGGCAAGCTGACGCCTATGAAGTGGTTTCTTCCTGCTTACATGTAACTGATTGGTTGCTTTTTCCTTTTTATTAACTATTTAATATTTTTGCTTATAGTGACAAATGTAGTTACCACCTTTTTCTCCATATTTAATAATATGAGTTTTTAGTTAGAATTCTGGACTAACGAGGAATAGAGAAAATATGTCTTTCATAAATAAAGATATGTTTTATATAACCGAGATTTGAGTTTAGCATAGATTATTCTGATACTCCTCAAATTCCTTATGCTATTGTAGTAATGCACTTAAGTTTGATTTTAAGTATCAATATCATCGTGCTTACAGTTCTTAGCTAAAACTTTCCCCTTCCAGTACAAAACCTTATTTCAGTTAATTAGTATCAAGAAATACAATAAATATGAGAAGGTGAATTAAGTTTAAATCCTAATAACAAGAACAAATACTTTAAAATCTGTATATATTTTTTTAAAAAATGTATTTTATATGCAGGAATGTGACTCCACAGACTACGCTGGAATTTAGAGTGTGGAGCCATCACACTTTAAAAGCAGATGCTTTATTAGGAAGAGCCACTGTAGACTTGAGACAAGCTTTGGAAATACACAATAGAAAATGTAAGTTATCATGAAGGATATTTTGAGTAAAGTAGAATTATTTTTACTAATCTATATATCAAACTGGCAAGGAGCCTACTAACTAAACGTGTAATTACAACTGACTTTCAGCTGATGTCTTTACTTGTCTCTTCTGGAGATGTCTGTGCTTTTGAGAACAACTTAAATATAACAATGGGATATAATAATTTTGAAACTAACATTATTAGAGTATGAGTTACTGCAAATGAAGTAAAAGCAGAAGTGATTAAATACAATGTTTTATGGCAGACTAGTAACTAATTTGCTGGAAGATCTGTTTTAGACTTTGTTAAAAAAAAAAAAGTCTGAACTTTCAGAAAAGCCATCTATGTAATTTTTCATGTTTTCCTTCCTGGAATCACTAATAGGAAAGCTGGATATTTTCCCCACATAATTTAGCTGCACAGAGAGCAATAGAAACCGCTGATTCATGAAGCAATTGAGAACTTCCTCACAGTACACTAAAGATTATTGGGTTCTGTGAAGCTTCTAATTTTGCCTTAACAGAATTAGAACAGGTCTTCTTTATCTAATTTACTTTCTCAATTTATTTTTTTTTTACTTAGTACAAGAAGGTGGTGAATCCACACTTTAAATTCCACCCCTGAGTGGCAGTAGAATTCCAGCTAAAGCATTCTCCAGTTTTCTCAAAATTTAGGCATACAAACCTGAGAGTTCTGTTTAAGGAGGTGAGAGTAAAGGAGAGCCAAAATCAAGTGGATTTTGTTCAGCAATAAAGATTCTGCCCAAGATTCCACAGTTAAGCAGAAAAATTACCTTTTTCTGTTTTTTTTTTTTGTGTTTTTTTTTTTAAGTTAATAAAAAGGTATCAGAAGAAACTGGGTTGTAATAATAATAGCTGAAAAATTATTAATATTTCAACTATTTCTGATGAAATAATTAATATTTTACTGCTGTAGATCCAGAGGATGTAGGGTCAAAAAACTTGGCAAATTCTTTCAGGGAACGGTTGATTGAATTAGCTGTACATTGGACCAAAAGTAATTTATTTATATGCAGTGTTTCTGATTTGGGCAGATCAGTGGTTTGACACACACCGGGTTTTCTGGTAATTCAGTGGTAAAAGAATCTGATTGGTATCCTTCAGTCATTCAGTTATTGATATCTGATCGAAAATGCAGCAATTGAAATGCTTTTTACTGAAGAACATGGAAAGGGGAAGTCCTCAAAATGCAGAAACTTTAGAATTAGTGCTGTAACTTTCTGCTGCTGAGTACTGAATTGCTGCCTACGCCCCTCCCAGCTTTCTTGCCAGCTCTGGTGGACTTCTGCCAGCTCTTGGGCTCTGGCCTGGGGAGATAACCTGTTAAAATAGCAGAGGCTAAACCAATTGCCCTTTGCAGAAATGGTGGTTTTTAAAATAAGCTAATTTAGCAACTCTGTGGTAGGTCAGTCTGTTCTTTCTCCTCTTTAAGGTAGTGCCATTTTCCAAAATGCAGATTGCTTAATCAATAATTTTGTGGGTTTGAGAGCTTTGTACTTGCTCCAGCAATTTAAAATATTTTGAAATCCATTGCACTGTAACAGTGAGTGTCTGCTAGTAACTGCTGCCCAACTACACTGTTGAACCTGCTCTTTAAGGTAACGCCTTGGGGATATCTGGCAATAGCTTATGGAAGCCTTCCCCCAATGTTTATTGTTTGTTTATGATATATGTTGAGAATTAAAAAAATAAGAAAATGCTAGCTTAATGCGTCGAAGTGCACAGTGAGCTTGGAATGCTATCATGTGGAGGGAAATATGGTGGCATAACTTGGAAAATTAATCTTTTAATCTAAGACCACAGATACTAAAAGGTCTTAAGCATTTTAACCTGATTAATGTGAGCTCATAGCCGTCTGTGTTTGGATGTTTTGACATGTAGTTTTAACTGCCATGCTAGTGATATTTGGTTTAGAGAGAATCACACAGCATCCACAGCATGTTATACCTCTGGATTACGTATGTCTCTACAAATGTGTGCATGAGTTGTCAGTCGTACTGAAATCTTTTACTGCACCACACACTTATTTTTTAATATCTCAATTATTTCAAGATTTCTTTTGATAAAAATAGTTTCTGATTTAAGTTTTGGTTACTTGAAGTATCCTCTGAGTTGGGATCTATGAAAATGCTAGTAAGAATTTGAAAAAATAATTCTAAGAAATGAGGAAAGACTGTATGCAGTCTTTGCATTTACTTCTTCCTCAAAGTGATGTTCTTTCCAGTGGTCTCTTAGATGGCATTGGAAATGAACATATGGTCTGGTTGTAGAATGCGGTTCCCTGTGACTTGTAATATGTGGACTTGTAGTTCACTTGTAGTTTGACTATAAGCTTTCTCGTGTTGTGTAGGTAGTGCACAATTTCAAAAGGGCTTAGTGGAAACAGCAAACCTGGGAAATAATTATCAACAAAGCTCTGAACCATGTGGATCCTAGACAGTACCTATAGGATATACTGTGTAAATGGCCAATTTATTTCTTACAACAAACTGCTTTTACCTTAGTGATTTCTACATTGATTTGAATCATCTGAGTATTTCTAATAATCAGTTTTGTACAACTAAATACAGGTATCACATTTTTGTGTTGTCTCTTCTAATGTTGTTTAAATTCTAATATTTCCTTTATACCTTCTCTCCTTCTCTCCCTCTACCCTCCCTAACTCCACTTTTAGTAGAGAAGGTGAAAGAACAGTTGAAACTCTCTTTGGAAAACAAGAGTGGCATGGTGCAAACAGGTGAACTGACAGTTGTGCTAGATGGTTTGGTTGTTGAACAAGAATCTCTTACAAATCTCAGTTCACCAGCAACCAGTAAGTTAAAATAATTAAGTCAGATGGTAATATTTTGATAAAGATTTCAAACAGATATAATATTTTTGTTGAATTTATTTCTTACTGTTCAGTAGAAGTTCAGCAAAATGGCGAGGCGGTGCATGAAAGCAGAGATCCTTCAGCAAGAAGTACATCCAGGTTTGAATCTATTTTTGTTTACACTGTATGAAGCATATTAATAGATTTATCAGTTGAAATGTGTGGGTTATTTGTGGTTTGGGTTTTCTAAACATTTTTTCGAAGGCAATAATTTAGGGCTTGGCAATTAAAATTTATGTTACAGGTTTCAGAGACATTAATTTTATGGCAATTACATAGTTTAACTTGAGAAGAATTAAATTTACAACTCTATTCTGCTGATAGAGTGTGCTCTCTGCTTTGCCGTTGCTTCTTGGATGTGTAGACTTCTGAACATAAAAATTCAGCTGATTGGAAGTCTACTAAATGCTGCAGCAGAGATTAGGATAACGTTATTCAGTGGTTTTGTGCACTTACTCCATTTGTTCTCTTCTGTGGTTTGAGAACCATTTCTATTCACATCTACCGACTTGTTGCAATGTGCGGAAGGAAGAAGAAAAAAAAAGCCTAAATTGCTTCCCCCTCACCCAGTTCCTTTTTCAAATCATAGTCAGGGATTTAAGAGACTTGTATTGAGTTTAGGAAGCAGTGTTCAGAACGCTGAGGCAAAGGATTTGCCTGCTTCAAGCTAAAGTGGCATGAAAAGGACTTTGGGATCTATTTAGAGCTTCATGCTTGGCTTCTCTATCTTGATACCAGCTCAAGGGCTGCTTGGAGAGAAGTATGAGTAGATTATTTGCCTTCTCACCCCTAGTGAGTGAAATAGGTCACTATTCAGATCAGTTTAATGTTCCTGGCCTGCTCAGTTACCTTATGGTGAGGCCGTTTCCATTTACATTCTTAAACGATGGAGTAAAAAAACATACAGTTGCTCTGAGTTCGAGTGACAGGGACACATTTGTCCTTGTACGCTTCACTTGATTCTTTCTTTGAATATGTGGAGGTTTGTCTCTGTTCCTCCATGGATGCCCAGTATGAGGGAGTGAGGATAGTTTTCGCATCAGAAAAGTCTAGGATTGTTAGAAGTGATGTGATGCACATCTGCCTGTTCTTTTGAAAGAGGAGTGACAATCATTTGTTTTCATGCAGCTATTTTTGCTGGAAGTGTGGCTTTTACTGGGATCTTGCTCTTGATATTGCTGTTTTGATTACAGCAGTTTTTTATACAACTATTCAGCAATTTTGCTTTACAATTTTAAAATTAAGATGTGAAGGAAAGTTCTAAGGTAGCTTCTGTGCATGTCTTTAGCAAGCAAATTGGATTTGTAATCTAGAGTTGAAATGAGATAATGCTTTTAATTCTGTGTTTATATTACTCCTTTGGAGTTGGGTAAGGTAACGTAGAAATGCTACTTCTTCCTTTCCCACTCTGTGAAATGAGGCTACTAACAATTCTGACATTTTTTGTCATCTGTTTAACTTCTCTTTAATTTTTAGCCTCGACTCTTTGAGAAGATGGGCAGTTGGCATTAAATGTAATTTTCACAATATGTATCTCTAGTGGGTGGCTTTAAGCATTTTGGGATGGATTTAAGTAAAAGCGGTGTAATTGAACAAGGCTTTCCATTGGCAAACCCTTACACTACATTTATTTATGTGTGGCCTTATAAACACAGAGCTTCCTGTGTGTATCTGTCCTCACAATATCCCTTCCTGCCTATGCATAGAAAAGCTCATCTTGTTTTCCTTTTACTGAGGGGCAGTTTTGTTACTTTCTTAATGTTATGACTAGAATAATTTTTGGAAATATTACAAACAAAACCAATTATTCCACTTGCTTAATGAGAGAAAGAATTTTCCTGCTCATAGCTATGCTTTGGGAGGGTCCCTAAGGCAGTTTTGGAAGATGTGGCAAATGCATCAGTCTGCCCAACCCAGTTCTAATGTGTCATTGCAAATAAAAAATGAAGTGGAAAATGAAAGTCTTAGATAAGTATCTGAAATTCTCAAAACCAAAATTTGCCTTAATTCTTTTGGTCTTCCACTTGACTGTTATCTCGGCTGCAAGCATTGTCCTATAAACTGTTGTGAACTTACTTTTATTTCCTTATTTGTTGTTTTTAGCATGATTTAGTGTAAGATTTGGTTTCATTGCATAACTGTTGAACATGTTGATTGTAGTAACCTAAAATGATATTTTATTTTTACCAAGATCTGCTTGTGACATTTCTAATGGGATAGACAATCAAGTACCTTCCAACTCTGTAGTACAGAATACGTTCTGTATAGAAGCTGTTAATGGGGACAGCACACCATCTCCTGCTCACGTTGCAGCCAGACCCAAAAATACACCAGTACCAAAACCACTTGCAGCTCAGCCTGTCAACAGCACTGGTAAGAATGGGAGAGTTGTAAGAACATGCTCCATAAGGCTTTTTTATCTGGTTGAAGTGTATCTGAAGTCAAGCCGGTTTTTCTACATGTTTTGTGTTAGTTTTCAAAAACACTGGAAAGATATTTCTGGGCTTGAATGTATAACCTTGCATGTCCACTTCTTTGAATTTTTCTGGAGTAGATCCATTTGTAATTGTACTAACTTCCATACTTTCCCATTAGTTCTCTTCCTCATGAAGAAAGATGTAAAGAGTCCAGAACTTACATTTCTCTGTCCCAGATGACTAACCCTTATTACTGATTGTCTGCATGAAAAAACAGATTTGTTTCACAATTAATTTCAGTTTCTTTTGCCATTGGATAAATCTGATTTTTAGTGCTGTCGGGGAAACTGCTGTGCACTGAGTTGAGGAGGGGGTGTCAAGAGGAAGGGGCCAGTATCTTTTTGGTGGTACCCAGTAATAGGACAAGAAACAATGTGTATAAACTAAAACACAGGAAGTTCTACCTCAACATGAGGAAAAAATTCTTTACTGTGAGGGTGACAGAGCACTAGCACAGGCTGCCCGGAGAGGTTGTGGAGTCTCCTTCTCTGGAGACTTTAAAAACCCGCTTGGATATGTTGCTGTGGAGACCTCTGTAGATAAACAAAGAACTCCTGGCTAAAATCAAATACAAAAGGGGAACACGCAAAGCGTGGAAGCAGGGACTGGTAACCTGGGATGATTACAAGGAAGTTGCTTGGGTAATCAGAGACCAGGTTAGAAAAGCTAAGGCCCTGACAGAGTCCAATCTGGCCAGTGATATTAAAAATAACAGAAAAGGATTTTACAGGTACATAAGAGAAAAAAGAAAAATGAGAGAGAATGTAGGGCCTCTCCAGAAGGATACAGGTGACCCGGTTACCGAGGACGTGAAGGCTGAAATATTCAACAACTTTTTTG